AGGGTTGATTTGCTGGTGGATCAATAAGATAATAGTATTTTTTAAAAGTATGAACATAGTCTTCAAAAAAACAAATATTACATAATTCTAATTTAGTCAAAATATAATTTGTATCTGCTTGCAAATTAGTATCTCCTACAAAACCACATAATTTTATTTTTTTTTATGATTTTTGCAAACTCAGCTAATATTGTATCAAGTGTGAGAAAATTTGCCAATAAAGCTGTTTTTTGAATTTTTTCAATTTCAAATTTTTGTCACTGTCTTAACCATTGCAACACACCTCCTTGGAGAGTTGCTACAATATAATCAAGGAATTTTTTCTTTAACCAACTATTTTTATAATAATAATGATGGACAATGATTATGCCCAATCATCAATTGCTTGTGGCTGGTCCTTAAATAGAATATGAGACAAGTCTAAATAAGTACCATTTTGAGCTATTGGATACTTATGATTATTATCTTTTCTAGATATTATTGGCTCAAGTACAGGATTGGAGGTACTTCCAGTGTTAGTATCATTTTTAACTTCATTTGTTTAAATAAAGTCAAAATTTTCTCTATCTCTGCATGTGCCAAATAATTCGAGATCAATCGGCTCTTCTGCCTTTCTTTTTCCTTTATTTATTTCTGGTGAAACATATTGATCTATTGTTTCTTCATATGAGGATGATTGATTATCATCATCACTAGTTGACATATTAATATCATAATTAAAGTATTGTAAAAGGGCTTCATATTTTAGATAAGTTTCTCTTATCTGATCTAGTAGTCTATTTCATTTATCAATACCTAAATCTGGATATTTATATAATTTTCTCCAATAATCCAATATTTCAACAATATTTTCATACTCAGTCCTATTATAGGTATTGGTTTGAAGTACCATAATATCTTTTGTACCATAAAATAGCCTAGGAATTGAGTTATCTCCTGGACTATTCATTCCATCATTGTTTATGAAGGATATAGTTTCTAATTTTGTTACCAAATTATTTATTTGGGTTTTTGCTTCTTTGTTTAAGTCAATATTTATTATAAAACCTAAATTGTCTATTTTAGATTCTATAAACTCCACTTTGGATTCTAGATAATTTTGATTTATTTTTTTATTTTTATCTAATTTAGAAAACCAAGAACACATAATACCAGTAATATTATTTAAACTAGAACACACACTATTTATATTTGCAAATTCTTCAGTAATATGCAAACTATGGTCATATTTATTATTAACATTATTTGTTTATATTTCCAAAGCATATTATATTTTTAGGGTTAATTGCTGTAGACACCCAATTTTTGACCGCCCTTAAGACTTGGGCGCCTCAGGTTGATCACTCGATGATGAAAGTTGTACTATGCAAAAGTTTGATTTCTTCGGCAAGAAAAGCTTCAAATCCCAACCTTACACCCCATTTTTTTGGACCAAAACTATTTTGAACAAAATTATTTTAGACCTTAAAACCCTCTCTTTCAAAATATTTTTGAAAATGTTTCTACGGTATTCTGAGACTCGCATTTCGTTAAATGTTGTAATTTTTGGTAAACCGAGCAAGGACAGAGTGGAAATAAATGAAAGAGAGGTGAACTCTTTAAAAAATCTTTCAAAATACCTTATTTAGAGGTTTGGAGTTGAAGAAAATAGGAGGGGAAGGAAGAAAACTAGTTGAGGAGAAGTTAGGCATCAATCCGGTTAGGACCAAAATTGAGCAGTCTTCACTAAAATAGGCATATCTTTTTGAACACTTCGAATTTTGATGTGAGGCTATCACCATTGGAAAGTATACTTCCGAGACTTCAATTTAGACTCAAGAATAACCTGCAACGAAGTCTGGATGAAGGAGTTATGCCTATTTGAAATAGGGCCAAAAAAATGATTTTTGTGGCCAGCCACTAATGTCAAAAAACTCAGATTTTACAGATATTTTGTGTCAGTTGTCTCCTAAAAGCTCCAGTTGTTTGTTTTGTTGATATTTCGACTGGGCTCTTATTTTCCTATATATAGAGGGCCTCTCCTCTTGTTTTGAAGGTTGGAGAAAATTTTAGAAGGTTAGAAGTTTTGGAATAAAAGTCTCTCTCTCTCTTTCTCTCTCTCTCTCTCTCTCTCTCTCTCTCTCTCTACATTTCTCTCTCTCTCTTGAACTTTTGTGCATACAAGTGTAGATACACTTCAAGTTTGCCTATCAACCCTTAACCAAAGTTGCTTATCTTTGAGCTGAGGTTACTTGGGACTCTCTTTGAGCTCTAGAAGGTGGTTTTGGCTTGATTTATTGCTTCATTTGTGTCTTCCCTTCAAGAGGTATAATACTTGCCTTTTAAACTTGTTTTGCATACTTGCTTTGCCATCTTCTTCTACTATTTTTGGGCTGTTTTGGGGCTGATTTTGAATTGTAAAAAACTCTGTTTTTGTGGCCTAAAGGTGGTGGTTTGAGGCCATTTTCAGTTAGGGGGTGGCTCACCCTTCTCACTTTTTTGCTTGTAAAGCTTTTGTACCTTTGTTCACCACTTTTAAACCAACTTTTTTTGGCCTTTTAACCACTGAATTTCAGAGGTTTTTCAGTGCCAAAAAACTCATTTTGAAGTCCAAATTTGGAGGGGTTAGCCTCCCTTCCTTGTGTCTTATTTGTATGCCTAGTTAGTTCCATATGTTAGCATGTTTTTCTAACTTAACTTAGCTCAAGTCTAGCATGTTTTAGCCTCTAAAATAGCCTTCTTTAGCTCTATTTTGGGCTGGTTAGTTCATTTGAGTCTTGTTTTGTATGGTTGTAGAGTAATAGTCCTTACAAGTTGGTGTTTTAAGGTCTTAGACACCACTTGTTTGAGTTGATAGCATCTTTTGGTGTTGTTTTTCATTCCATTTCAATACTATAAGCTCTGCAACCTCCCTCTTTACTTCACTCTTTCATTTGCTTTTGAGGGTTGTTTCAAGCTTGGCATCCTTTAAGCTTGAGATTGAGGTCATGCTTAATCGTTTAATCCTCTTTGAGGGTTCATTACCAACGGCATGATCTCTCTCTTGCATTATATTATCGCTTGGTTGATACTTCTTTCATCTTAGAAGACACTCACCAAATGGACAAATTGATTAAAGAATGATTTGGTAACTAAAATGTGTAAACAAAATTGTCAAGTAAAAGTGGCAAGATAAGTATTTCTTTATGTTGCATTGCATGTGTTCAAATCAGACGTTAATTTGAACACAAGGAAAATGGGACATTTTATACTCAAAAGTAATGAAATGTGCCACTTTCCTAGGTCTTTGTTGCCCTTGATCATGCATGATAGGGTGATGGCATTTGAGGCTTGTTTTTGGATTCATTGAACTTCTGCAAGTTGGTCCCTTAGCCATCATGCATGGAAATTGCTTAATTGATGGTCTGAGGGCCAAGTGTATCACTCCTTTGACCTTGTTTTGATGATAAGGGGTGATACACAGTACAAACAACCTATGAAAATACCCTTTCTTGACCCTTTATGCTCTCTATTGCAGCAAAAAATGATATATCATCAGTGGCCTGCCGGCCACCAGTGATGGACGACAATCCCTCAATGGTGGCCAGCCGGCCACCACTTCTGGCCTGTCGACCACCAATGAATTTTGAGCAGTGTGCTTGTGAAGCATGGCAGAGTTGATTTGGAGAAGGAAACAGTACAAGGGTTGTGCAAACAGAAGCATCCGGGAGAAAACGGAGGATGTTCTTTGGGTGGAAACCAAACCTGCATGGGCCTCCCTCGCATCCCCCGACAAGTTATCTTGTTAATTAGTTTAATTTAATTAGTCTATGATTAGCCTATGTTGTAATTCAATTAGTTTGTGTTGTAATTATTTAATTAGTTAGTTGTAGCTAATTAATTTGTATTGTAATAATTAGTTAAATTAGTTTAGTTAATTAATTCAAGTTTTATAATAATTAGCTTAGTTTAGCTAACTAGTTAGCATTTATTCATTCGGACCCTCCTTCGCGAGGGCATAATGTTGTAATAAGTGTGTGTGCGTGTGTATATATCTTCTAACCCCACGTCTTTCTCATTTTTACTTAACTATTTTCAATGGTTAGATTAGGGACATGTTTCAATTAGCATGCCTTATGCTTGCATTCATTCATTTTTATTGCATGCACCGGGGCTCGGCACATCATTTAAACTGTATTGTCATTTCAATAGTTTCTTTGCAAACGTGCTTAATCGCATGTTATTGCTTCATGCACCATATTAGTAGCCGAACTTATTAATTGCATTATTTGCACGTGTTGCATTAGGCATTTCGTATAGTTAGGAATCATGCATATTTTTCTAATTCATATTTTCTTAGCTTTGAGTACTGGGTGAGTTTTTATGCTTTGGCATACTTGCATGAATGTAAGTGTTGCCATGTCTAGCATGCTTTCCATAAGGCTAAATGCTTATTTGATAAAACTACTTAAATGCCTGTGGATGAAGGCTTGTTGTTTGAATTCTCTTGAAATTATAATTATTATCTATCTTTTTAAAATAAATATGATTCAAATATATAAATACTGATATTTGATCATTTTAATTTTTTGTATAAATATTATATTCTCAATGAGTCTTAAAAAGTAAACGGTACATTTCATTACATTTAGTTCAAATTATTTTTTTGTGTTTCAATAAATTATACCAGTGACATATCCGTTTAAATCATGGAACCAATCCGAACCAATCCATTTAAATACGGATTGGATTGGTTTAGGACCACGGATTCACATAATTAAATAACAAAAATATATATATATAACACTTAAATTTCATAAAAATATAAACATAACGCTATATTAGTTCCATAATAGCAATATGTTTTTCTATAATAACGACATACTATTCTATAATTTAAACAACCATAAGAAAATTGGTTTCACCATAAGTATTTAGACCATTGCAAATTAAAACTTAAAACTAACATGTTAGCATCAATTTTAGTAAGAAAATAAGGACCTTCAAAAAATAACTAAAGGAATAAATAAAAGCATGAGTGTCTTACTTTGCAAGAGTAGGTAATTTGATGCATTCCCTCAATATATTTCCACAATTCAAGGCAATTTCCTTGTTATCATAGCTGCATGAAAAACACAAAAACGCTGCAGGCAGATCATACCACTTTATCATAACAACACCATTAACAACAAAATCTATGTTCGTTGCTGATCCCAAAAAGAAAAGGTAACTAGGCAATTAATAAATCATGCAAAAATCCCTACTAAAAATTGCTCGTGTAGGCCAAAAGATACTTGGGTACTTGGTTTATTGCTGATAGTAAACCGAACAATAATGAAACTTAAAGATAGGGATTAGATATTATTAACAGGATATATGCCCAGATATGATAGTTAGGCCTCGTTTGGGGACAGATTTTTTTGTAACTTTTTAGTTTTTTGGCTAAAATTTGATGTAAAAAAAACTAGTATGTTTGGGATGACTTTTTGAGTTTTTATGAAAGATGTGCAAAAAGTAGAGAGAAAATGGAATCTTTGACTTTTTGATATGTGTTGTTGGCTTTTTGATTTTTTTAGTAACTTTTTGACTTTTTGGCTAAAAGGGGCACTTGCCAAACGAGGCCTTAATAATATTAAATGGCAAGAACTACACTGCCATCCAATGTAGCTCATGTTTTATGGGTTACAAAAAAGGTATGCTAAAATGTTCATTCAATTGCCAAATGATAGCGATAAAGATCTGTGGGAGCCGAATAATATTATTACGTAGGGAAGCCGATTTAGGTTAAAGAAAGAAATCCAGTTATGTACTATACGGCTCTATCCTGGAGGAACATAGAGGCCGAATAACCAGATCGGCTGTAGAATCAACTGTAAACTGGGCCGAGTATGAATAGGTAGGACAGAATAGCCGAGTAACCAATTATTTGTTGGTCAAAAGGTGGGCCCAACCATCAATATCAAGGACGATTATAAATAAGAGGAGCATCAGCTAAGAAAAGGTATGTGAGAACTAATAAGATTAACTTGAGATACAAGCAATCAAAAGAGTATACACTGACTTATCCGTCGGAGTGCTAATTTCGGCACCCCCGACCGGAGTGTTCATTCCTTTTCAGGTGACTAGCTGAGGATCAAGAGCATCCTACAGGATCCATAGAGTATTTCCAAACCACATCTCCACCATTGGCACCATTTGTGGGAATACTCAAGCACATCCATGGCGGGCGTGACAGAAGATCCTCCGGTAGTCGCTGACGACCTTATGCCACGAGACGATACCACTCCAAGAAACATGCTTGGGCCAGAGAACATTGCCGCACGAAGGGCCTTGAACTTTGACTCAGTTGCCCAGACCTCACCCTCGACATCAGTACATGAGACGATGCAAGCGATTATAGATCAGGCAAAGCAAAATGAACAGAGGTTGGAAAACATGATGGCTAAGAACGAGCACCTTCGACAAGATTTAGCCCTGGAGGTGGCAAAATCCCAACAAGCCGCGTGCCAAGATCAGGGACGACCTTTGGGAAAGTATGGTCGACGACCTCGAATTCGGAGACATGATAGTGACAGTGATTCTGACTCATCATCTCCAGAATCTAAAAATAAGGGATGAGTCGAAGTATCCAGTTCTTCTGGAGGAAGGCTGCGTGCGCGGAATAAGTGAAGAAATGATTCAGACGAAGAGGATCACATGACCCCTTTGTGCGACGGATCGCAAGGGCAGTGCTACCCAAAAAGTACAAAGCGCCATCATTCACCCTGTATGATGGAAAATTAGATCCCACCGATCACATTCGTCATTATAAACAAGCCATGACGCTTCATGCAGACGACGATGCCTTCATGTGTCGAATATTTCCGAGCAGTTTGGGACCACTGGCCGTCAGATAGTATTATAAATTAGAATCGGCATTGATTAAGAGCTTCCACCAACTCCAAAAATCCTTTAGGGCAAGGTTCATCACCAATGAGGTCAAGCTGAAGCAAGCCGATTCTCTCTGGACAATGCAAATTCAACTAAGAGAAACCCTTCGTGCATATTCGGCGCGCTATTGGGAATGCTTTAATCTAGTAGATGATGCCTGCAATGACTCCATGGCCATCACCGCCTTTAAGATGGGATTTCATCCTAATAGTGCCCTCAGCAGCTTCTTGACCAAACGGCCCCCAAAAACAGTCTGGTCGTTAATAAAGAAAGTCGAGGAATACTGCAAGATGAAAGATGATGCCCTGCGGGTCAAAGCCAGGCACAAAGCCAATAAGACGACCCCATCTAAAATCGTGCAGTCGATAAACGTTGTACCACCACAGAGCCCTGAATCACAGAATCGGGCTAAACAAGACAAAACACGGGATTCGCGCCGATCAAATGACCAATGTTCACATCGAGCTAATGAGCAGCTTCAAGTGAATAGGCGCATAAGGCGCGCAAACAAGAAATACACGGAGTTATCGGAGCCGATCAGTACAGTTATGTCTAAAGTTCAACACCTGCCATTTTTTATTTGGCCACCCAAGATGGTGGGACCTCCTGACACGAGGAAACGGGATAGGCGTTGTAAATATCACAAAGACCACGGTCATGACATCGACAGTTATTATGCGTTGAAGGACCACCTTGAGGAGTTGGTGCAAGACGGTCGGTTTATGCAACACGTCTGAAAGAACAATTCAACAAAAACAGTAGCTTTACGGCAGGATTCACCTCCACTCGGCGTAATTCATATGATATATAGCTTGCCGACGGCATCCACGGTACATACAATTCAGTTGCAGCCTAACCTCCAAAAGCAAATCACACCAGCGAAACGGCTCCATGAAGCTGCGAATATTAGTTTCGATGATTCTGATTTGGTCGGCGTAACGCTCCCCCACACTGATCCCTTAGTCATTGAACTATGCGTAAACCGATTCATCGCTGAACGTGTTCTCATTGACCAGAGAACTACTTCAGAAGTAATGTACTACAAGACCATCGTTAAACTCGGCTTCACTAAGTCGGATCTGTCTTCGGCTGATTACCCTTTATTCAACTTCAACGTTAATCTGGAATATCCTTTGGGCAAAATCACACTACCAGTTCGGGCGGGCTCCCGATCAGTGGACGTAGAATTTCTGGTTGTCAAGCTTCCTTCGCTGTAAAATCTCATTATGGGACGAACCTGGTTGCATACCATGCAGGCCGTGCCAAGCACCTATCATCAACTACTTCGCTTTCCAACTGAACACGGCATAGAGCAAATTCGAGGTTCCCAGAAATCAACGCAGGCATGTTATCTTCTTACTGCGAAGACACCAAGAGAGCTGGAAGTAAATTCAATTAAGGTGCCAGATCAGGAAAACCTCGACGACGTTGGGCGGCTCCCAAGTGAAAAGGCAACCGAAGCCCTGGATCGGGTTGAAATTGACGGGAATCTTGACAAGTTTTTCATGATCGCCGCTTCCCTAAGTAAAACCGACAAGCAAGAGCTAATATCCTTCTTACTCGGCAACCTTGATGTATTTGCATGGTCACCATATGAGATGCCGAGGGTGGATCCATCCGTGTCACAGCACCGCTTAAACGTTGATCCAAAATATAAGCCAATTGTTCAGATAAGCCAATTGTTCAGAAAAGCCGGCAGTCAGCCGCGGAGCATACTACTGCCGTTGTTAAAGAAGTTGATCGATTACTTGATGCCGGGACAATCCGCGAAGTGACCTATCTTACATGGCTGTCGAATACTGTGGTTGTAAAGAAGAAAAATGGAACTTAGACGTGTTTGTGTGGATTTCACGGACTTAAACAAAGCTTGTCCTAAGGATTACTTTCTCCTCTCATGAATAGACCAACTCGTAGATGCAACTACATATCATCAACGTATGAGCTTTCTAGATGCCTATAGAGGTTACCATCAAATTGTCATGCATCCGAAGGACCAAGAAAAAACTGCATTCCTCAGCCCAAGAGGAACCTATTGCTATAAGGTCATGCCTTTTAGGCCGAAGAATGCGGGGCAATCTACCAAAGACTAGTGACTGCTATGTTCAAAGAGCAACTCGGCCGTACCATGGAAGTACACATCGACGATAGGGTGGTCAAGTCCAAGGAAGAGCAAACTCATCTAGCCGATCTGGAAGAGACATTCGGCATTCTTTACAAATACAAAATGAAGCTGAACGCTTCCAAATGTGCAGTTGGCATCGGATCCGGCAAATTCCTTGGCTACATTGTTAACCACTGCAGAATCGATGCCAACCCGAGGCAAATCACAGCAATTCTAGAACTTGGCTCTCCTCGGTCGGTCAAAGAGGTTAAGAAGCTAATGGGAATGGCCGCCGCACTCAACAGGTTCATTAATCGTTCCACAGATCGCTACCGACAATTCTTTCATACCCTTCGGCAAGGTAAAGCTTTTGGATGGACCCCCGAGTGCGAAGCTGCCTTGGACGGTTTGAAGACTTACCTCCGATCAGTTCCACTCTTGGCAACACCTTCGGCAGGTGATCCACTCATTTAATATCTGGTAGTTTCCGACCAGGCAGTCAGTGTCGTGCTGTTAAAGGAAGAACTTGGGAAACAGCGACCAATTTACTATGTGAGCAAAGCAATGATTGACACCGAAACACGTTACCTTCCGTTGGAAAAACTCGTCCTTGCTCTCGTCATGGCAGCAAGAAAACTGATGCATTACTTTCAGGGGTATACCATTGGGGTACTAACGGACTACCCCCTCCGGTCAGTGCTCCATAACGCGGAAGCATCAGGGCGCGTTTCAAAATGGGCTCTGGAACTCGGCCAGTATGATATCTAATTTCTACCCAGAACCTCAATCAAGGGGCAAGTGTTTGCCGACTTTGTTGCCGAATTCAATGGGTGTCTCGCCGACTTTAAGTCTGATCAAATTCAATTTAAGCTGAACTAGAGAATATACGTTAGGGACATTTGGCAGTTGTGCTGTGACGGGTCATCCAACCAGTGTGGTAGTGGGGCCGGCGTAGTGATCATGTCTCCCGACGGGGCAATAATTGAGCAGGCTGTCAAACTGGACTTCAAAGCATCGAATAATGAGGCCGAACACGAAGCATTGTTACCCGGCTTACGGAATGCACTTCTCCTTGGTGCTCGGCGTTTGTT